TCAAATTTGTTTCCAAAATTAATTTTGGTTCTTTTATTATGCTCTTACATAAAAAAATAGTGTGTGCAACTCGTTTATAATATTGATTTACAAACGAGTATCACAATGTACTTTTCTAAAATTAATTCTTTATAACCCAAATATTATTTGACTCTGTTTTGGCATAATAAGTACAAATTTAAAATTAATTATTGCAACATTTCATGCATTATTTAAAACAAATAAAAATTAATGGATTACCTTCAATTAATCGGCTTATTCATAATAATCCATAGCATTATGTTTATTAAAATCATGAAAAATTAAAAAATTAAAAAATTGTAACAATAGGCTATGCTTGTATGCGAGCGGGTACAGTGCCATGCAGTCGCTCGTCGAGGTCACTGAAGTGCGAATGGCTTTGCCTTGCTCTAAGGAGTTCATTTTAATTTTTATGGTATTTTAATTCATTTTCATTTTGTTCGTTATCATTTCTTTCATTTTCATGTTATTTTGTTTTTTTTATTTTCATTTCGTTTTCTTTCTTTTTTCATTTTTATTTTATATTTATTTGAATTACAAGGTGCGTAGATCACTAGTACATTCCTGGAGTTTGTGGCGACTTTCATTAATCTTTTAAACTAACTTAATTCTAAAATTAACCTCTCAAGGTCACTAAGGAGTGCATTCGTCACATGGAACAGCGGGATTCAGAACGGTTCAGCGATGTTTTCCTTCACACCTGCGTGTTTGGTTACCGTAGTACACTTCTGCAAACGGCGTTGGTAATGTAAATTTGCACTATCATTGCTATGAATAGACACAATTTACCTAAAGGGAATACGCGAAATGGTAGTACCAACTTGAACCGTGACATGAAAGATCCCGTGCGATTTTGTGGAAATTTTCAACCAAGATTTACCCTATCATATTGAAAGAAAATTTAAAGATGTCGTTTCTACAAAATGTCATTTTTTCGCGCAATATTTGTTTTTATTCACTGACTAAAAATAGACATACTATATATATTTCTACATTATGATTTTAACCTGGGTGATGACTGGTGAATTTTTCACGAGACGTCATTTTTTGCCGAAATGTCCCGAGTTCTTTCACAAAGACAGAGCGACTTTTCAGTACCATTAAATTAAATGTTATTTGGGCCGCGTGTTACATTGTCTGTGTGGTTTCTAGTGCCAGACGTCTTACTGTATTATTGGTTGCACAGTAACCAATAGGAACTTGTATCACGTGATCATGGTGTTGAAAGATCTTTTTGTCTCCTGCTTCAGTTCATCGGGAATTGTTATACGAGACGGTGCGCGAGTGGTTCGTGAATTTTATCAAAACAACTTAATTGATCATCTAAGGAAAAATTAAAGTCCATCTCAAAAGTGAGTAGTATATATTTTTAGCTTTTATACATGATGAAGAAGATATCCGTAGTGAGTTTGTAAATTATGCAATGCCAATTGTCATACTGTTGTTTTGTGACTTGGATCTTGGCGAGAGAAGCGAGATAACTTACCGTTGAAAGTAAATTGGTATTACAATGCGGCGGGAACAAAGCGTATGAGGTGAGCCATGAAAATAGTCTTATCCTGAAGATTTATTCATTTCTATCAGATCGCTTTGCTTTCTCCCTCTTCTGCAATTCCTTCTCCCCCACTCCACCCCTTCCCCTCATCCGCCACACTTCTCTAAAGGTGTACCGTCTACCCTACTTTAACCAAATATTTTTTCTGAGTATTCGTGTAATATTTTGCACATACAATTTGTAAATATGTCTGAGATTTTCAAACTTGCGATGTAAAATTGAGAAGCAATGAATGTTTGAAGTAGTAAGAGCTTCACAAACAGCCGTCACAAATAAGATTGTTGTAAAGTCTTTATTATTATTTTTCTAATGTTACTAGTTTCTCGATATCGTTCTTTTTCAAGGATGTGGGCTTTGTAATTTTATTTACTATATCAAGTGAAAGAAAACCAGCGTTTTATTTTGTTATGCAATTTAATGTTCCTGTCAAGATCATTAATTTATCCACTTCCTTCCTAACCCCTTCTTCCTCCCGTAGCCAGTCTCGGCGCTGTGGAGCCTTTTGCTACACGAGCAAATAGTAAATTGTGTGTAATCGTGTAAAACTACTAAGCACATCCCATAAATATTATTTTTTAAGTCAATTATTTTTTAAATCCTCAAAAATAATAAACATTGCATTCCCCTTTTTTGGAAGGCAAAACATCTACATACTTTCACTGAAAAATCAAATATTATTTCTCCAAAATATACAATAAAACATAACGAACAATATATTTTCAGTTTATTACTTACCACATGATTTAGAGTTATTGGGTGAACGTATGTATTTTCTATATCGTGAACCGTTTAAAATTGACGTATTATATGCATCAGCTCGAACTATTTGCGCGCCCGGATAGCTCGGCGCTTATATGGGCACGAGCAACTTCCCCTGACCTCACTTCATTTCCTCTCGAAATCCAGAAAGGAGAAACATTTGCAAGCTGATGCCGGGGAATGAAAGAACAAAACGCGCTCAAAATATCACGCCGGATGGCTTCTTCACACGAAAATATATTTGCTAGATGTTGGAATTTTGATTATGTACTTCATTACTTAATACATTTTTAAGTTTATTTTAAATTTAAATTAATATTTTTGCCAAGGGAAAGGAATATATTTGAATTGCGAATTCATTGCTTATTTTCGTTTCCTTTTATGTTTTATTAAATCATTCTGTTATTTGTTTTATATATCAATAACATGAAATAAAAGAACAAAGTCTCCATAGATTAACAGGTCTCTTGTGGGGCAATCAGGTCTTTTCACCTATCTTTTTTATCTCTTAATTGTCTTCAGGGGAACGTAAGTCAGTGCAAATATTGCGCTGTTAAGTGAACGCGATGACGAAAGCAAGATCCTTTGGATTCAAAATGTTTAATTCAACTCTTAATTGACAATTTGAAATATGATGATACATTTAAATTAAATGGTTCATTTAAAGGCTTTGTTAGAGCAAAGTGGAATTAATATCTGCTTGGAGGCAATAACTGTCAACTGACTTTTTCTAATGTTTTCCAAGGATAATGTGCCCTGTGGCGCACCGCCCCTCCGCGGCATTTTCTAAAAACCTCACTTTTAAATCTCGTGGCAATTGCACTGGACGCAGGGCTCACAAACTCTTGTGAGGTAAATTAACTTGCCTTTGATCTTAACATACCATATTTAAAAGTTATTGGCGTTGTCTATTGTTTGGCGAGACTCACTGAATATAGAAATATAATATTATATGGATATTATGCATTCATATAGATGGATAAGTAGGTTAATGTGTAATATCAACTGCTATTTTCTAGCAAAATATTCCATTTATTTACAAAAAATGATACATATATACAGTCTCCAAAATATAAACATTATATACAAATAAAATAGTGTATACACATTCATATCCATCATCACATAGCGAGTGTCGTTTGACTAAGTAGAGCGCCGATTTATTGACTGTATTTAGTAAGGGCCACCCTGGCTTCTCTGGGAGGCGGGGTAGGGACCGTCGGCCTCCTCATAACGGATCTGGGGCCTGTAACCCTCCTCGTCAGCTTCGTACTCGACGATCTGCGTGCGGCCGTCGGGAAGCAGAACTCTGTACTCGCCCTTGGCGCTCTCGTCTTGGCGGTCCTCCTGGTGGCCGAAGTTGCTGCCAGATTCGTAGTCCTCCACGGCGTATTGGTACTCGTAGTTCGCGGGTTCCTAGAGCGAAACAATATTTTAATTAGTGCATTAAAATTACTAAGAATTTAAAAGATATTCAAGAGATTTCTGACATGGGATTTTGTAAGCTAACGCTGATACAATATGCAGATAGTTTACTAAGCTTATGGGAGTGTAAACATGAATATTGAACATGTATTTGAAATAACTCGTTCATTTAATAAAACGTTTCAAACTATGGTAACTTGTTCATTGAGGAACTACACTTTTTGATAGTAGTATAAACCTGTTATCACAAAATATTTTTGTTATATCATTATATGAAAATATTTTTATTTAGCATGATAATGCAAAACGTTATAACTGTTATCATAGTCTCATGAGGAATATCACTTACAATATTTTCATAAATTTCTTTCAGCAAATGGTTTCGCGTTTCAAAAGGAAAAGTCTTTTCGAATCGCATAATGATTTAAATTTTTTCTTATTCAGTCAAACGACAGTCAAAGTCCAGTTACAGCTGCGTTTAATTTAATAGTTGATTTAATTAATTTATATAGTTCATGTCGATATTCATATAGTATTACTTAAACTTATTAGTTGAATAACTATTTACAGCAATAATTAGAAACAACCTTTCATTTTTGTGTTTTAACTAATTTCGGATTTAAAATTGACTGACCCAATACATTAGATCATCCCAAAGTCTTATATTTCTTTGCAAATCTACAAAAGTGTGTGGTATACCGTGGAAATCCCTGTCAAAATGGGAGTGATATCATCTCGCTGTGGGAACGTTCGTGAGTACTGATTCCGCGCACGCCAACTACTTGGATCATTAATCCCTTACATGTAGTGCATGTCATATTCCAGGAGGTAGCTATGTACCTCCCTGCTGGAAAATTAGATCCAACACTGACCAACACGTCGACTTGCAAAGATTTGTACCTCTAGATATCGTCCCCAAGAACGACGTTGCAACCTTTAAGCTTTCGCCTGGTCTTCCATCATGGACGTGAACTGTTTGTTTTATCTATTACCCCAACATTTTCCTGGATTTGATCGTAGAAACTAGAGGAAGCATACTTATCGGAGAAGGCGTCCACTAGAATTCTCCTCCAAACAGCGGCTGCATTCGGCCTAAGTAGCTAGGGACGAAAATTTAGCTCCGTGGGGACTCGAACCCAACGACCTTTCGGTCACAGGTGACGCGTGAGGGCGTCAAGATCATACTTACGGCGAGAGGGTCCTCGGTGGAGGCGCTGTAGGCAGCTGGGGCTCCGTACACGGGGGCGGGTCCGTTGCTCAGGCGGCTGGGGGCGCGGGCGGCGGCGGCGGAGTAGCTGGAGGCGGCGTTGGGGGCGCCGTAGACGGGAGCGGGGGCGGGGGCGGAGAAGCGCTCGGCCGCCGGGGCACCGTACTGTGTGGACGGGGCTCCGAAGCCGTTGTTGCGCGAGGGGCCGGAGGAGAAGCGGGCCGCCGCGGGGGCGCCAAACTGGCTGGAAGGAGCGGAGAAGCGGGCGGGGGCGCCGTACTGTTCAGAGGGAGCGGAGAAGCGAGCGGGGGCGGGGGCAGCGATGCGGGCCGGAGCCCCGTACTGGGTAGAGGGCGCGGAAGAGCGGGCAGGGGCACCGTACTGTTGGGAAGGAGCCGAGATACGAGCGGGAGCACCGTTCTGGCTGGAAGGAGCGGAGTTGCGGGCGGGGGCACCGTACTGGCTGGAAGGTGCGGAGATGCGGGCAAAGCCAGACGCGGGGGCGCCGTACTGACTAGAGGGAGCGGAGATGCGGGCGGGGCCAGAGGCGGGGGGGCCGTACTGCTGGGAGGGGGCGGAGAAGCGGGCCTGCGGTGGCAGGTACCCTCTGTTGACTGGGGGCTCCGCCAGAGCGCAGCCCAGAAGGGCGAGAACGATCAGAGCCTGGAAAAGGAAGAAAACGGTTCTTAACCTTCTAAAAACGTTTGGGTAAGCGCGCGTGTCCGTTACCTTCCAGGTTGAAGGCTATATTCGTTGTGCGTGAGAAGGAGGACCTATAATTAATGCTGAGAATTTTGAATTCGCAGTTAACCAATTAAATATGTTTCATTTCCCAATTATTCAAATTGTGGTTAGGCAATGTTTCTTATCTTGTGAAAAGGGCATACTATTAGGAAAATTAAATAACAATTATATGTATACATTTATGGTAGAATACAAGATAGAAGCTGTCAGTTAATATTAAAGATAATGATGTCAGGAATAATTAGCAAAGACTCATCAAGGATTTTTTGTAGCAAATACTTCCACATTCCTTTTTCATGTTCAATTTAGTTTGAGGTAAAATAATGAAATATAAGATTGAGTATTTTAGAAATATCGGTTGATTATATTTAAAGTACGTGATTA